GAGAAGGCAAAAACCACCCCCCCCCCCCCCCCCCCCCCCCCCCCAGTCCTTCTGGTGGCATCTACGGTGCAGTCGTCCCTGATCCCGTTCCTCTTCTTCTTCTTCTTCGGGGGGGCCCTCCTCTTCGCTACGGCCTCACACTCCAACCTCGCGGTCATGCTCTCATCGCCGAGACACCTCCGCCCGCTCGCCATCGCCGTCAACTCCATCGTCATGCACGCTCTCGGCGATGTCCCTTCCCCGACCCTCATCGGATGGGCCAAGGATGCGCTCGCGCCGCATTGCGTCGCCGGGGAAGCGGCGTCCGGTGGCAGCGCCTTCTTGAGGGGTTCGGAGTCAGTTGTCGGTCCCGCCGCAAGGGGGCTGGGGGGGTTGCTGCGGGCGGGGAGGGTGCTAGGTGGGGTCAGCGATGCCTGCAGGTGAGAGGACCAGACGGGCGAGTGGCTGGCTGGCTGACACGGGCACGACGCCCTCCTCCTTGTTTGTTTCGTGTCTCTCCTCCTTTTTTGTTTCTTTCTTGTCTCTCCTATGTGCTGTGTTCAGTTGGTATCTTGGCAGCCTTTTGCCGGGTGGGTTTGGATTCGAGTCTCGGCTCAGTCGCACAGTTGCATTTTTTTTTCTTCTTTTTCTTGTGGTGTGTCCAAAAAAATAAACGTGAGTGTGTACCGTTGGTTTCGTGAGTATAACGTACCGTACAGGTTTGTAAAATCGCCGTATGTATGTACGTCCAGCACAAATCTCATGACACATATAAGCATATCAACGGCATCCACACGCGGGGATGGCATCAGCGTTGATCGCGTGGCCGGCCGACCGGATAAAAGATTACCATGGTTCCTGCATGGGAGGCCGGAGTAAATAGTGCATGGCACGTATGTTCGTGGCACGTCGCTGCATCCCAACAGCGGATCCCCCTCCGATCAAAGCCATCAAAACCATCAAAAACACGAAAAACGTCAAAACCATCAAAACCCGCGTGCATGTCTAGATGATCGCCTAATTGGAAGTCTTCCTTGTCCTGTAAGGGGACGGCCTTCGTGAACACTCTTGAATATTAATCTACGTAATCTACGAAATAGAGAAAGGGGGAGTTCGTTTCCATATCGCTGACCCTACCCCCCACCCAACCCCACCTAGTACAGTACCCCCTTACCAACGTTACCGTATACGACACAAGGTAGCACACACCCTGGACCAATTTTCAAAGCTCGATTACGCCACGACGAAGAGGATGCATAAACGAAACGATACATTTTCGGAAAGCTCTCTACAAGGCGGATTCAACGACGCCGTTGTTGGCGCCGTGACTCTCTCTGCTGTCGATAAATCGAGCTTTGAAAATCGGTCTATGGAGTGTGTTATCTTGTGTCGTATATGGTAGTTTCCTCGCGAACGCCACTGGTGTGAGGTGACCCCCCCCCCCCCTGATCTGCTTGTTTGAACGTTTTCATCCAGGGGCGAGAGGCGAGGGCTACACCTAACCTTGTTGATTATCGCATTGTGGCTGCTGTGGACATGCCTCTTCTTCGGCCTAGCTCGGGCTGTGCAGCAGAGCGCGCTGGAGTACGGGGTGCTCCCTGTATCGTGGGGCGACATCAGGGGTAAGTGGCTCTGTAACTAGCGCTAGCTAGCCCCGCTGCGGGTGCATTCAGAGGTGTGCTTTACGTGGCAGCAGTTAGTCGTGGTCGTCCGCGTGTAATACCGGACACCCTTCATTCGCTATTCAGAGCAACATGGGACAGCTTCAATATTTATATTCGCAGGGACCCTTCATTCGATATTCAGAGCAACATGGAGCTTCAGTATTAATGTTCGATGGACTGTACTGCTGAGTCACGCCGCTTCACCGGCCTTCTTCTTTTTCACGTGGACAGGACGAACGGCCTTGTTTGTGCAGACGGTGCTGTCTTGTCTTTTCCTATCTTAACCAGGGAAATATATTGCTGTAGTTGGGTTTGCGGCTGTGATGCGTGGCCAATTGCGCCAGGCATGGGTTTATTTTGGAGGAATAGGCGCAGGGAGTTCTTCCACTATTTCGTGCTACAGAGCCCCCCCGTCCATCTGCGCCGGGTACTACTACTTTGGGTTGCGCCACAGCGGCTCGTACAGATGGAACGTTTCATACAATGCTTGAAACACAGTTGCTGGGCTTGATTTGTCAAGAGCAAGAGGAGATAGAATATGAGAGAGAGAGAGAGAGAAAGAGAGACAGAGGCAGAGAGAGAGAGAGAGAGAGAGAGAGAGAGAGAGAGAGAGAGAGAGAGAGAGAGAGAGACTTGAACACGCGCCCTTCTTCCGACCCCCTTCTCCCCCCAGGTCTGATATCGAAGGGTTTGTTTCGCCCTGGTTGGCCAAGTCGGTGGCGGGTGTGGTGGCGGGAACGTGGGCGATCCGTGCAACGGAAGCCAGCTCTCTGGATAGACGAAATTGAGGACGGAGGCTACGACAATGGAGTCGGTTCGAGCCTCGAGGAAGCTTTGCTCCCGCCGGCATCATTACCGTTACCGTCGCCTCTCACGCCTACCTCTCTAGTCGACTAGACTAGCGGTTGGGGACTGAGGGGACTGGAGGGAGGGGCGGGCGCCCCTTCGGGGGAATGGATGTGATGTGATGTGACTCATGAGACGTTAACGCCGCAATATTCCTGCAATATCCTTGTCTCGGGGTGAGTTTTTGTTGGTACATAAAGCGGTCGACCTGATGTCGTTGGGGAGTGAATAGTGTCGGTAGGTCGACCTGACATCTTTGGGGAGTGAATTGTGTCGGTACATAATGCGGTCCACCTACCGCAGTATTAATACGTGTACGAATCAAGGCTCTACATGTGCCCGCTGGTGCTGTTCTGAAGGTCTGCGACGTGAACATTAGGCACCGCCTGTGGTATGAGGTGGAGGGTTTTGTCAGCCAAGTTGCAGGTGGAGGGAGTGCAAGCCCAGAGGTGCCAGTGGCGCAGGCAACGATCACGTGTGTCGTGTGTTTGTGTGTGTCGGTGTGTTTATTTTATCATTCTGGCATCGACCGCGCCAACCGGCTGACCAATGAAAAGACGTCAGTCGCAAGTGCGGTGGGAATCAGAAAATATATGTTTGTGTGTTTCATGCATAGCGTAGTCCGCGCTAGAGATAGCCGGCTGATGAAGTGCCAGTCCCATGGTATGCCCGTTTTGAGCCTGTCTATGCCCCTCCGCTTGTCCGATTTTGTAGCATAGTTGACGGCGCTAGCTCGCTGACGGATGGAATATTGTTCTATTGTGTTTTCTTGTTTTTTCGTATGGAGTGGTAGCCTTGTCTCACAACCGTAGCTGTAGGTACAAACCTTGGCGCGAGGAACAGAGCTGGAGCGATCTGCCTCCAGCCCATGCCTGTTTCATAAGCGAAGACGATGATGGAGCCATTGTACATTTCTAGGTTTGTACGGTCCATTCTGAGATTTAAACCGGGGGTGTTTGGGGGCTAACTTACAACACACGGTTTGAAACGTTCTGTCTGGTCGAGAGACCCTGACAAGCGCCAACCTGAAGACTTTTTGCCGTTTGGGACCTGCCTGCCTCTCCTCCCCCACTTTCCTTTTCGGCGAAGGGGATGCTGAAGAAACTAGGAAATTGCTATTAGTAGTGTTGAACATTTGGTGCGAGGGTGATTTTCAACCCTTCCTAACTGGCGATGGGTTTAACTACTTCGGTTAGCCGGAGTCTGTGGCCCACCTTGTTTTCTCTCCACAGAATACAGAATACGAGCACAAGTCAACGGTGACTTGAGAAGCACGATGACCATTAGACTGGTCAGCTAGTGGCCATCCTGCTTGTAACGAAAGCTAACAGTGACTACGCAACACATCGTTGGTATTTATGACACTACTGCTGTGGCCGTACTTCAACTTTGGGAGCGAAGGCTGTGGCGTTTCCTGCAGGGACGGACGGACTGCTTGCCGTTGTGGGGACTAGAGCTGTGCTACACCTGCCCGCAGGGTCGCCCTTGGGTGAAGAGTGTGATCTATTTCCTCTCTCTTCTCTCTCCTGTTCCGGATGACTCTCTCTCTCTCTCTTCTCTTGCTTTTTTTCATCGTGATGGTTCTACCGTACGGAGTATGAACATGAACACTAAGGGCCGTTTTATAAATTCCAAATTTTTGTTCAAATGTACAAATTTTCCGAAAATCCGGAACTTGTACAGAGGCGTTTGTCCAAATATATTCGAAAAATCCGGAACGAACCTGGGCCCGAAAATTTGTACCCAGTAGCTTCCAAATTTCCGTTCGGTTCCAAATAGTTGGCGCCAAAAAATTGGAAATTGAACAAAAATTTGGAATGTATAAAACGCCCCTAAGGACGCTCCCCATGAAACGTCATGGACATTCCCCTCTTCAAGGACATAATACATTAAGGACGTGCCCCGCTTTCAGGACATGAGGACACGAACATCACGGACGCCCCTCAGGACATACGAAACATGAAGGACAAAATCAACGAATTCACATCACGGACGGGCCGCCCTTAAAGGAACATTTTTCAGAAAAAAAACACGAGTATCGGTGTGTAGTTTTTTTTTTTCTTGTGGTTGATGCTAAGGCACTCCCCCGCGATTAGCCCCAGCGTGCAAGGCGGACTTGGTTGGGGTGATGGCTGTCCACCATGCCTGTTGCTGCTCGCTTCCTGCGGAACACTGCTTCCCTAGGGCTTGCGGGCGTTGGCTTACAATCTTAAAAAAGACCGGGGACACTCTGGGTGCAAACCCAGCGTTTCCACCCCGTTCTACTGTGTAAGGAAACTAAAGCAAAACAACCCAATGGGCGTCGGGATGACTGTCTTCATGGGGATACAAGGATGGCGTGTATCGGGGGTGGGTGCCACAAGAAGAGTTGACGCGGACATCGTCCCTTCCACAAAAGTGAGTGAGATAGTGAGAGAACGGGGCAACAAATGAGAAATATTTAGTACCTCGTATTTCCATCCAGCGTATATGTATCAGAAAATATAAAAATACACGGCTCTCGATAAAAAACAATTCCATCATAAACCAACGGAATAAAAGGTAAACGTCTAGCTAGACTTAGCCAATCTTGGCAAATCTTATCATTCCATCGTGTCACTCTACAGTGAGTGGTCGAACCAAGCTGCGGGTGGTTGGGCACCGCCCCCGGCATGGAACGGCACTTCTTCCGACATCGATGCCTACAAAATAATCCCATCTCTCCGCCTGCCATCTTCCAACAAACTAAACAACTCCCAACCCAACCGTCGCGAGAGCGCAAGTCACATTAACTAACATGCATGCCTATCAAACTTAACAAGGCGACCGTCTGCCATAAGGCGACCGTCTGCCATATAGCCCAGACCGAGAGAGGAACAACGACACCCACAACGGTCAACGTACCCCCCCCCCCCCCCCTCGCCCAAATAGACTAGCAGCAGCGGCGCATAGACTAGCAGCAGCGGCACAAAGAATACGCCCTCTTCTACCCAACAAAGCCTCTTGTGTACACATCGACGAAAAAAAAAAGTGATGAAATATTCGGCGCCGTGCGCGATGACGGCATCGGATCGAAAAAACAAACAAAAACGAAGCAACGTTTCCTGCAAAGCAGAAATAAGATAAGATAAGAGACGTTATAAATACTCAAGATCTTGAGAGACAGACAGGCACTCTTATAAACACACTCTCAGACGGATCGACCCACAACCAGCATACTACCAAGTATTCAGGAGGTAAGCGAAAATTTACAGCAACATTCATTCATAACACACGCCACGGCGGTGCACCAGCACCACCTCCTACCAGGGAACACGGAAACGAGGACCAGTTCGTCAGACCAACCGGAACCACCTCCCTCCCGACAAAAAAACTCCCCACGAGGCAATCATCCTCAATGGACGACGATGGCAAGACTGCATCCGTCACAAAAGGGGATACAACCATCCCCACAAGCCTGGCGCAAGCTGGGACAGACTTCTTACGTGCTAATACCATCATACACCCTTCTTTCGGTCCATTGGCCAGCCGCCCGGCCACCGAGTGCTACGCACCCGTAGCGAAAACACCACCAACTTCGGTTGACCTTAACAGAACGAATCCTCACTCGCTTCATGGTAGGGTTTGAAGCGGCACACTGCCGATGGGGGGGATGGGGGGTACAATACCTAAGTCAAATACCTCTTGTTCGGCTCCGTGGAACCCGCAAGGAACTCAATCATCTCTTGACATGCCGTACCAAAAGCTTTTCTACACAGCAGCACAGCACAGCCGACAAAAGACTTCACCACGGGGCGGAGAGCTGTTCTTTTCTTCCTTTTCTTTCGTTTTTCCTTCGACAACGGTCCGCCACGGGCGGATGGTCATCAAGAAACCGAAACGGGGCACCAATAGCCCGCTACGCTTCCGAAACAAACCTTGGTCCTCGCCCGGAGGTTAACGAAAAAAAAAAAAAAAAAAACACGTAGCGGCTGTTGTCGCAAAGGCCCCATCCATACCTCGGAGATCGACCAGAATACGACACGCCAAAGAACCGGCTTGGTCGAGACACAAAACTAACGACGCTGCCTTACCGCACACACAGCAGTCATCGCCAGCCACCACGGGGCGGCGGCGGCGGCGGCTAGAAGAGACCACACCATAACTCTACTACGAGGTAACTCGTACTGGTACGCGATACGGCCACGACCCGAGAGACCTTATGCAACCCGACACCATCAAAATAGCTTCAACGCCGATCGTTGGGTTAGGGCTAGGAGCGACCGAGGGCACACACTATCGTAACGCAACAGCAGGCACTACGTTCCAGCTTCTGTGAGCCGAGGAGGTCAAGAGACGTGTGCCTGCTCACGCACAAGACACGCGCAAGTACTGATGGATCTCGGCCTATCGTACCGTGGTAACCGAGAGGCGCAACCATCAGAGGAAGGAAAACGACAGGCAGCTATGCCAACTTAGGTTAGCTTCGGGAAATTGAAGGTGTGTAGCGCAGTCAGTCATACACGACGACGACGACGACTCTCCCCAAAAAAAACACAGCCTGAAAAAGAAAAAAAAAAAGTTTTTTTTTCTAAACAGCCACGGGGGATGTGAGAGCCAGCCCCTCAGCGATTTCTACAACAGCAACAACATAAAATGTTTGTTTTTTTGTTTTCTCCTTTTTCCAAAGCCGACGCCCTCGCCCTCAAAAGAGCAAACCGCAAACAACGACCACCAACCCCGTCTTTATAAACACATTATCTCTTGGAACGAACCGGCCTTGCAACTTCGGAACGACAACCCGTCCCGTGTACCGGCCCGCAAAACGCCAAGAAACCAGCTTTGTCCGCACATGCTCGTGGAAAAACGCCGCCCACCTCCCTGATACTGAACGCCGGGTGTTGAATCACGGTTAGCATCGTCGTCCGTCCAATCACCGAACGGCGTCATCACTGCTGTTGTCGCTTTGTGACTGCGGGGTCAACTTGGAGCATAGGCCGGTTGGCGTGGTTCCATGAACCCCAGTACCTCTCCTAAGCTCTACATGGGGATCGGATCGCCACACTGACAACCCTCCGCAACCACACCAGGGAAGCGGTTTCGCACGACGAATCGAACCGCTTGTACCTTCCCGACCGCTCGCCCACTCGAAAACGCCGCGTCATGCCCACGGCATGCCTTCCACTTCAACAGGAGGACACAGCTCTAGGCCGCTGGCTTCCGTTGGTATCATGCCAGCACGCTGAAGAGAGTCCGACCAGTCAGGCTGAGCGTATACAAGTGATGCCCTTTGCTCTGCGAACCGAAACCGATAGATACACAACAGCAGTGCGGCGCGATTAGCAGGGCCGAGCGGGGGGTTCCACACACATGATGCGAGGAAGGGGGGCCGCGGGTGAGGTATGCAGCAGCCAGCACCTATCATAGGTGGCGACACTCCTAGCGCATCGAATACTTTGGTCTCCGAAACAGAAAAAAGTTCCAAGAGGTGCGCTACGAGACTCAGGGAAAACGCGAACTTGTCAAAAAAAAAAAAAAAACTTGGCTGGGTCTTCTTGCTCTCCTCTCTTGTCTTACCATTGTCCTTGGGTTGAACAGAACCACTCCGACGTTGGTGATGGCGATGTCAACGGCGGCGCTCTCCGTGGTGCTCATCTCTCGCCCATCATTGACCCTCAACCTCAGCTTCCCCGTCGCCCGCTCGTGTATCGCGTCGAGCACCGGCCGAGCCTTCTTCGACTCCTCCCCTTCGCCTTCGCCCGGCACAACTACTCATGACCAAACGCAACACACGCAGGACGAGGTCGAACACCACCATCATGAAACGCCATCATGCGGGATGGGGGGGGGGCGGCGGAATCGAATTGAGAAAAAAAAAAAAGTTAACGCTTGCGCAGCAATCGAGATGAGATGAGATGTGGTGCAGTCGTGCAGTCTGGATATTTTCGCCAGTTCATCAAAACGTTCACTCATCATCGTGCTGTCTCAAGAAGCTGAAGCTGGGGGGGGGGGTACTCATGTAAACGCATGCCGTAGTCGTTTGGCCATTGACCTCGCATCCCTACAGTACAATGCCCGGGGTCGGAGCGGAAAGCCGGGCATTCGCCGGCCCTGGCTACGTTCGACATGGACAAGGATGAGCCAGAAGCTGCAAGCGCTCCAAAAACTTGTCCGAAACGGGGGGGCCTGCAGCTGAATATTCCTCACCACATATACCACCCTGGTACTTAGGTAAGTGGTCAAGAGGGGGCTCACCTCCATCTAACGTGAAGACGAACTTGAAGTGGGCCTTGCCTCCCGTCTCTCCCTCATTGCGAGCAAACGTATCCAGGCGGAACCCACGCTGTTTGTCATTCATGCCGCCAGCGGAAGCATGGAAAGGAAAGCGGTCGGGGCGAAAAATCAGAACCGGCGTCAACGGCTATATCGTCACAAAGCAGGCAGGAGTTTCAACAGCGGTTATACCATCACGAAGCAGCGGCCGCGCCAACGGCTATATCGCCACTAACCACGAGTTTCCACGACGGCTACAGTGACAAAGTCGCGACTTCCCAACGGCTACTGTTGCACAGCAGGTGAGTCAACTGCGATCACTACAAAGCAGTCATTTCGACAACGGCTATATTATCACAACGACAGGGAGAATCAACGACATTTGGCACTGGCACCCGCGAAACGGCAATTCACGAACGCCAGGGTTAGCTTTGATCGTGTCGTCAAACCAACCAGCAAAGCTCCGCAACAAAAAAATCAGCTGTATCATAGCATGCAACTAAGTCGGAAAAAAGCATCGCATGCTGCTAATATCATACCGGTCTACGGCTGCTGCCACGCCTACAGCCAACACCCAGCACGGATGAAGAAGGACGCCTAAACCACACACCAATCAATGCCAAAACAGGCCCTCTCCAATACCAACCCAATGATATATCATGAGTCCCCCAGAAAAGTGACAAAATAAAAAAACACAAGAAAAGCAATCATCACAACAAAATGGTGTACAAGCAGGGAACAATCATAAAATGTACTTCGAAGTATATAATAGTGTTTTGTTGCTGTCTTTTGTTTTGGCATTTTATTTTTCAGTTTCGGGGACGCATAAATCGCTCACAACGCGCTCACATGTCCGGATACATAGTCGTTCGCATCGTTGGGGTCGCTGAGGAAGGGCCGCACGTCCATCCGGCCGACGTGCTCGTACATCGGCTTCTTGGTCTTATCCTTGGACTTTTCTTTCTCCTTCTTCCTCGGCTGCTGCTGTTCAACCCTGCTGCCCTTGTCTTCTCCCCCCTTGCCCTTCGAGTCAGCCGCCAAGCTCTTCCCCAAGTCGCTGCCACCACCTCCCCTGCTCAATTCTGGATTCGTCCTTGGTCTGTGTTTTCGTGAAGCAGAAAAGCGCGACCAAGGAGTCAGGGTTCGGGGTAGGCAATGCAACGACCGCGCGGAGGGGAACATGGAGTTGGTACGATATTCGAAACCAGAAGGACGAGCTCAACTACTTTAGCAAGGTCGTTGCACATGTAAGAGACGTTACCAAGCTTGTCCAAGTCGAAGACACTCGGCACCGAATAGGCTCCACCGCCGTTGCTTGGTGTGTGTGGCGGAACACAAGGGCTTGTGTCACCCAGACCACTACTATAGCCAAAGAAGGTGTCGGTTACATCCTTAACTTTAACGTCCACGGAAGTGGACCCTGTACAACATAAGGCAAGGCTAAGGCTGTATAGTGCCAAGGAATTTGGTCGGCCTTACACCGAGCATCGGCACTATTCAGAGTTTTTTTTTTTTTTAAATTACCTTTTTGAGCCACTGGCCTCAGTAACGCAGCCGTTTTACAAGGACCACGGCTGCCTGTACCTCAAAAGCGTGTGAGTATCCGCAAACCACAATATTAATACTATGTACGCCGACGACACCGACATTTGTAATATACTTGCACCGTGGGGACTACAATACATACAATAACTGGTATGCCGAGTCAGCCCCCCGTCCCCTCAAGAGAAGGTGGTTAAGATGCAACGCACAAGGATGCATCAAATCACCTGAGCTCGTGGGACGGGATGAGGTGCGGTGCAGCACACAAGGATGGAAATGGATGAATTAATCACCAAATCAAATCAAATTCAAATCACCTGGGTCTTCCCGCGTCGGACACACTTCGCTTGAACATCGGATTGCTGCCGTTCATTGCCGACCGAGTAGACTCCTCGGAGTCTTGCGCGGGATACAGACTGACGCCGTCGGTCCCAAAGAGCCAAAAAGAGGTACAGAAGGGGTACAGCAGTACAATCGCACCACCGAAAGGGTACAGTGACAATGTTCAGTCAGGCATATGTAGTATACAGGTGAAGATAAGGGCAGGGAAGGCTCACCGCGGTTTAATGTGAGTGCAACCGAACCATGCACCAGTACAAGGCCCAGCGTTGACGTTGGGCTCATGTGCACGCCACCGCCTGAAGAACTGACAGCTACCTGCACGCTGAGGAAATGAGACTCAAAAGAGAAAACGAGCCAAGAACATGACCACAAGAACACATGATCAGCTAAGAACCCCACATGAACCACAGTCGACCCCACCACAAAAGCCTTCCGAGGTGTGCAAACCGCCGTGGGGGCCACGCACCAAGGACCAACAAGGCTGATCCGGGAGAACATTGAACATTTGTGTCGGGGTTTGACCCTGCCCGACCTACTGCGTCTGCGCTTCAACAACTGCTGCATTTCACGTCTAGATATGAGGTGAGGTGAACACTGCGTAGGTGCTGCTGAGGCCGCTCACTCTTGCAATACGAGGCTCCAATTTGACCAAAACTACACATAAAAAATACGGTTAAACAGAGCTACAACGGCGGGAGCTACACCAAAATCTTACTGCTTGTAATATAGTACGCATCGACGGGCGGTGGCGACGAAACTTGTTCGACAGCATCGAACTTGTTCGACAGCATCGAACAGAGTGTTCCTTGTGTTCTTCACACAGAAGTTTGCGGGCCGATGGGGTACATACCGGTCAAAGCATTTGTAGCGTACTCTCCGCATCCAAGGCCACCAACCTGTCTTGTTGAGCCTGCTACCCACAAGGGAGGGTATATCGCTGAATGCTGCCCGGGAAACCGTGGAAATACGAGTAGCTTTCTCTGACGCTATGAATTCAAGCTAATCTATGTATCTTTGACTCTTTTCTTAGATAGAGATGGATTCGTTGGGTCATCTTAAGAAAAACAAAACAAAACAAAACAAAACAAAACAAAACAGATAGATAGATCGATACCTTGCGACCGCCTTCTCCGCGTTGCCGTTCGCAGCTCGGAACATCGGGTTTCGAAAATCCATCTTCATGTGCTGCGGCTTCGACTTGGACTTCGCGGCCGACTTCTTTTCCGCCGCCGGCCTCCTCGACAGCTTCGACAACCCCCCCCCTTCCGCCCCCCTCGCCCCTGTCCGATCCACTCCTTCTCTTCCCTCGACCACGTCCTTGCCGCTGCCGCCGCCGGCGCCCATTTCCTCCTCCTCTGCTGCATTGTCTTCCTCTGCCCGACGAGCGCAAGAAGCAACCGTGTCCGTGTCCGTGTCCGTGCCGGTTTTGGTTTTGGCCCGGACCCAGCACGGAAGGTACATGGGGGGTCGAATGGAGGTACAGAGTCAATAAGTACCAAGACACTCACTCACCCGTGGGCAGGTGCATTCAAGCAGGGCGAGAGATTGATCGAAAATATGTACCACTATTCTACAAGTTCGTGATTGTCATCATCGTAGACTATCTACACCCGCCCTGTGTGTTTTTTGTTTTCCCCACAAAGTGCCAAATCTTCGGCGAGTGAATGACACGGAGCAGACGAGCCCTTCAATACCACACTTCCAAGTACAAGTACAATGTACAATACCCCGCGGGCTGGCCCTCCATTCTTGGTCTGCCTGTCTGTCTGTTCTGTCCCGTGTGCATTCCTACATACGCATAGAGTAAAGAAAAAACAACCAGAGACATAAAAGGATATAAAGGAATTGCATGTTCACAAGGGATACGCGAGGTGTCACGCGAGTTCCGTATCATACTGCTGTACAACATGCATTTTGTTTCATCAGAGCACACGGATGGAGGGGGGGCGCGCAGGCCAGCAAGCTTAACGAAACGGTAACGGTTGGGCGTAATCTTTTGTTTATTCCTTTGAAGTTGAAGGATATGTACTTCCAACGCATGCCAAGTGGTATCCGTGTGCGCACCCAAATTGCCCGAATGGTTGTTTTTTTATTTTTCTTAATATGACACAACGAATCCATCTCTATCATAGAAAAGTTGTTGCGTTATTGTAGTTACATGGAGACCACCACCAGGCTGCTGCGCATGGATTCGGCAAGACCAGTACCACTGGAAGAATTGGAATTTCTCCCGGCGGCATTCTGTCAGAAGACCGAGTAGTACATAGCCGGGGTGTTGGACACACGGGATGCGCCAATGCGCCTCTGCTATGCATTTGTATATGTATAGCACCTAAACGAAGGCCGGAGGGGTGTCGTGGCGTCAGGCGTAGGCATAGCCACAACGCAGTACACGTGCTCCGGGCAGGCAGTGTCTCTGGCAGCATTTTAGTTGCTTAGATATATTTGGGAAGTTTTCCCAAGATGGGATCGGCACCTATTTACTAGAAGAGAGGGATGCATGGATACAGGGGGAAACAGTGTTTAGCGGCGGCGCGTGGTGAAGCTGCTGTTGGTGTACGGTGGGTAACGGAGCCCGCGGGCGCCCTGCCCATCATCGGCAACTTCGTACCGACGTTTTCATATGATCATGTCACCCTGGTAGATACTAGACACGCGAAGAGTCCAATGGAACAAGTCCGACGGAATTCGCAATCCTTGGCAACTAGGTCTGCCTACAAAAAAGTCGTTGGAAATGTTCAAGACAAAAACACTGCTGTCGATTGTTTCTGTGCATATCATACGTGCATGCACTCCACGAACTCTGTACCAGGTATGTTCTAATGTTCTACCACAGGAGTAGAAAAATTGCCGCCAATATCGATGAGGGTGTCCATTTCATCATTTCATTCCAAGACAAGCAGGCAGAGGAGGACATGATAGACGGGGAGTGGAGGATAAAACAACACACAACGACAAAGAAGGCTTGCCCACAATCTCATCCCAGCAGAACAGAGCAAGAGCTACAGCTGCTGCGCCTGGAAAAACTGTTCGTAAAGTTGGAGTTGAACTTCGGGGAACCTCGTACGTACCACGAATGTACTGCGTACAACAGCAGTCCCTTCGAGTATATCAGCCGTACCGGCATGGTGCCCGCCGCACGTTAAGACGGACAGCAGTGTGGTGTATATACCAGTATATTGGGGTCGTGGCGTTTGAGTGGCGCAATTAAAAGACAGCGTTGATTGATGTACTTGACACTACCACACCGACGAAACGTGAGAAAGACAAGCAAGAGAGGGGCCGGGCTACAGCAGTACCGCCATCGCCGTTTGGTGGCACACAGACAGAGACGACCAGGCCAGTTCAGAGAAACATTCTATCTGGCTGCTCATGTCCCTCGACACACCAGTAGAATCAAAGAGTGAGAAGGGAGGGAGGGCTAGAGAAAGAGACGAATCCCTCCGTAGAACGCATCAGCAAAATCTAAACCGACCAGAGCTGTAGTGGTTCGTTGCAACGGGCACACCAGGGGCCGGGGCGATATCGCTTTGCCCACTGCTCACGGCGCGTACGCGTGAAAACCAGAAAACAGACCAGGTTCTTGTTCCTCGGTGGAAGATGTGGTATTTAGTACAGCTTTGTACAATAGGACTTTGCTACTGCTGCTGTCGAGACAGCAGTGCATGTCTCCACCTATCAAGAGCTTCTCGTGTTGTACGCATACGAAGGTCTCTCCATCTCATTCTACTGCTGCTTTGGCGTGCCGCACATGTCTGTCGAGCGAAAGTCACCAAAATCGGTGCCCCCACTCACGCACGCAACGCATCTTTGTACACATGTGTCCATCTGCGTGCTCATGAGTTAATAAATAATATAAGCGTGACGGCTGTACTACATTTCAATCCAAGCCCACTTTTAACATTATTAAATCGAAATCTGTCTGCTGTGCGAGAGACATCACTCAGCCAGGCGGACACGCACACGAACGAGCGCACGCATCGTGTCTGCTGGAAGACCGTCCGGAACGGTGATGGATCGTCTCCTTCTGTCTCCCAACTGACAGGAAAAGTCTCGCCGTATATTCCAACTTTTACGACAACGCATCTTTCATTCCAAGTTTGAACCACAGCTGATGAACGAACGAACCACTCGCTCGCGAGGGTACCGCTCGCTGTTCCTGCAGAACATCAAGCCAACACGTCTCTGCTTGACGACGCAACCATGGTTGGAGCTATAGGGCGGAAACAACAGGTGCCATGCCATGCCATGCCATGACGAGTAAGGGCCATGTGCATCTAAGCGAAGGAGAACGTTTTCACAGAGATCAAGGCACGAGTAAACCTAAAAAGCTTGCATGCAGTTCGTACTCTAGATCATGATATGCATACGACTGACTGCTACTGTTCAAGCGTGTGTGGAAATGAACGCAGTTTCCAAAGGTCAACAAATCAACAAATCAAATGTTCCACATTTCCTTGGGGTAACTGTATGTATGTCTCTCTCTTTCGCCCAAAAAAATACGCATCGTGTTCACCTGCGAAGCTCGGAAACACACTCGAGGCTCCAGGGTCTGTCTCCGGCGAGGTGGAGCTCGAGCAGTTGTTCACGCATTTGCTCGTGTTCTGCAGCTTTTCGAAACTCATCGTCCGCCACGCGCTAGCCTGCATCCCTTCCCCCTTTGGTCGGCCCAATGGCATGCTCGCCGCCCTCTCGTGCCTTAACCGCCTCTCTCTCCCGTCCCCGCTCCGCTTGCCCCGCGTCGTCGTTCCACCTCTCAACGAAGCCATCATTATCGACAGTCGCCGCTTGTGCTGCTTTTGTGCCAAAGCGACCCGCCTGTGACTGCAGCCTGCTGCCCTCTTCTCTCAGCTCCAAAGACGCAAAAAAAAAAGCCTGCTGCTGACGACGATGTGTGCTGCACCACACTCGGAAATTCTCTGCTCAGGTGGCCGGAGCCGGGGGAAGAGAAAGGGGGCTCTCCAACGCGCAGGCACAGCGCTCTCCCGAACGCCGTCAGAAGATGGGCTCTGCTCTCTCTCGTTGGCCCAGGTCTGAATGCGGTTGGCAGCTGACTGCAGGTGGTCGGAGAACTGGACACTGTTCGGAGATTACATGCATACAACGGGTGGGTGGTTTTCTCCACACAAAATACGGGAATAGGGGGGGGGAGGGGGGGGTAGAGGCTCGTCTCAAACCTGATCAACAACACAGCTGACTGTCCGTCTCTCGCTGTGCTGCTGCTGCCTGGTATGGGCCGACACACGGTGCTCGTTGTTCTCCTGGCGCTCTTCACAGGGGCGGATGGATTCGTGCCGTCCTTCCTCGCACGACCCATTACCACAGCGGCAACGACGGCAGCACCGCAAAGGTATAGCAGTAGGGCAGCAGTCGAATATGGAGGTAACAAGGCAGGACCAGCAGCAGCAGCAGCAGCAGCGGGATTGACACACCATGATGATGGCCTTATCGTAGCAGCAGCGATTGCGCGGGTGGCGAATTAGTAGGTGCTTGGAAGTCTTGTGTGCGTTGGCCGTATTTGAAAAGCGGGTGCCCGTTGGCCGTGCTTCTGTTTTCTTGAACCACTATATGTACATGCAGACCATGTGTAGGCAAGCGTAACTGCAGGAGCACTTCGTCAGCAATGTTCAAAACGACAGCCAATCTCTACTGCTTACCGCCGTGCGGGGTATTTACGCGCTGTGCTTTCCACTTCCTTACCTTGGTGTCGTCTAAACACACAGAGAGATGCATCATTGCCCCCAAACGTACGCGCACTTCCATGGTACTCATCTCTGCTCTGCGTAGGATGACTCAATCAAGCTGTGTACAGCAGCATCGATGACATGATGACCGCCGCCGCAGTGGCGAAATTTAAACTTCGTACTGCTGTAGATGCCGCCACGCAGGGCATCAAGGCTCGCTCGGAGCACCCGTGTCGCTGCTTGTTCCCTCATATCACATCTCACCTTTCCTTGTCGTCGTTTCCCGGTGTGTGACATGAACAACCGAAAAGCCCGTGTGGTGCACACTCCGCTTCTCACCGTTTGCCACGCAAGATACCACCCCCCCCTCTTGCCGTAGTACAAGTAGTCGGTACAATCTATTATTCAGTAGTTGCAACAGGTCTTCGCGGCCCAATTTCTCTACAAGATCAGTGCTACATAGTGAAGATTTCGACCGAATGCTGGTCTTTGGCAAATGCTAATGCTTTGATCATA